AAGACGATCTCGGCAGTTCGAAACACTCAATGAAGCTCTCCAATACCGCCAGCCAGTGTGTTGGGCTTCTATGGATGGTGCTCGGAAACCTAGAGATTTTCTTCCTTGTGAAATAGGCAAGTAATATCTGGCAAAGTGGAGCATGCAGTTGGGACCCCCACAGGGAAAGGCAAGCAAACACTTTAAGGGCTTGTTCCTTTTACCATAACAACTACAACCGAAAACCACTGGAATTTGTTGCAAAAATTATTGCAGTATATGTGAGAACCTCATTCTGATGTACCTGGTGTTAAAACGTCTTAGCCTTGATGACCGACGCCTACTAGAAGCTAACCGCAGTAAAACACTAAATGACACCAGCTGAAACTGGCCACGTAATAAAGTCGATCGGAATACCGTCGAAATAATTTTCTTTAGGATTAACCAGCAGATTTCTGCACCCAGTATTTTATTTATAAAGCCGACTGTGTTATACATTCCGATTACGGCTTTAAAGTGTATGAATCCAACCAATCAAATGCGAACAAGACGCAAACAAACGTTGTGCTCTCCGGCGTCCGGGAATTTAAAGAAAAATAACATACCAGTATTTAACAAGGATATTATAGTCTGTAGATGCGCACCGTACTAGGAGGACGTAGTTTTCTTTATGAAGTATGTATTCTGCGAAAAATTAATCCAGAGGCTTGTCGATCCCGGGTTTTTTACCCATAATTACCATTATCCCTCATTGCATTGAACTTACTTCAAGCAATCTCATGCCGTTGTGGGCTGTCGCAGTGAATGACCGGAACAGTCTGGGCAAGCAGAGCACAGTTGAATTCACAAAGTTAATGTGTATTCACTTAAAGGTGGGTAAAAGCCAAATGCAACATAAGAACAGTAGTGTCATCTCTTTAGGATCTGGGACAGGTTGTGTGTGATAAAAAGTAATTTACTGATGGCAATAAACGGAAGTGCTAAAAACTTAACGATATTCGGTGAATTAGACTGTCCATGTCAACGATTAGATGGGATTTCAGACAGTCTTCCAATCGCTCCAGAAGAGTGCTTCTATACATTTGGATTTCCTCAAATTGTCAAACAAGCTTCGAGTTTAGTACACAAAACCAATACCGCAGTCGAGTAAGTTTGACAAACCACGGTAGTGTTAAGAGTTTTACGTCATTGGACCTTTACAACTAAGTAGATCATGATACAGCTATATTCCAGTGATTGTTGGCCGGTTTACTGAATGAAAACGAGTCGTACAGATCCAAAATCACGCGAACAAGACCGGACACTGGTACTTGAGTTCAACCTGCCTGTGAGCTATGGAATACCAAAATAGGTTATTTGGGACAAATAGCCCTGCTTTGAATAGTGGGTATTGTCGGCTGCATTGAAAAATTGACGAATCCTGAAGCGAGTTCGCCACAGTACCATCGGTAAACAAACGAAAGGACAGAATGTTTTAATCTTCTCGTGGGGATAAAGGCAACCAACACAAATATGACGTGGAGGGATGCAACGCCTGAAGTTCTGCTCCCGCGTAGAACCTACATGCAGTCAAGCACCAAGGTGTCTCTATTCGAATTGCAGTCCAGGAGCGTAGAAATAATTCCATTGGGCACCTTCATAACGAATGTGTGCTAGTTTGGACGTTCAGCAACGCATCAATTATGGTAGGAGGCAACCGCAGAATGGAAACCAACTCTCGTCGATTACGAAATAGACAAAACTGCAATGTCATGGATGCAGCTCCTAACTAGAGACCATTTAGTATAGGCGAAGTGTCAAGGTCCGAAACGAAGATCGGCCAGAATATCAGACACCAGGTGCGAGCAAAAAATGGAACTTTAGGAAGTCCCGCAAGTTGTAATGGATAGAATATAAGTAAACTGCAATAATCACATTGCAGCAGTGGAAGGCTAGGCAAAGTAGTCCTACTGCGGTTACGGTATACGATGTACAAGCAAATATAAACAAGGGCAAGTTTGTGGGCGCGGAAGCCAAGTACCACACAAATAATGGAATTCTAAAAATGGAAAAGATCAATCGATCAGCCACAGCAACATGAACCTCAGACTGCGCGACGCAAGTCTTACCGAACGAGCTGAGATTAGAACGTGAGTGACAAGCAATAGCGGTTCTGATTGAAAGAGAAAATCTACTGGTCGAAAGGCCAATAAATCGGTCGCGGAGATTTAATGGATCCTAAAATAGTTGCGCAGGATAACATTGCCCGTTCTTCAACTTACCCAGCCAAGTTTGCCATGGAACACTTATGCAATGCGTAAGCTGTGGCTTTCACCAGTTGGCAATTGTCGGTGACAAAGTTATCAGTTGGCAACTCTTGTTCCGGGTCGCCGCTTGCCTAGTGCGACTGTTGTCAAGTGGTGAATACGTCATCCCCTTAACACATTCGTCTCTTTGCCAATTGCCAACAACGCAGTCCTCACGATAGCCAGGGAACCCAAAGTATAAATACCAGCCTGTAAATACCGTCGTCACCTTCGACTTCGCCTGTCGTGCTTGGGCAGCAAGCGCTATGCGGAAGACAGTCGACTTTCCTCTGTCGGGGTCTCCAATATTATTGCATTTTCCATGATACCCTTGGTACAGTGAGAAGGTACCATTGATGAACTAAGTCACGCAAGTGCGTATATCTGTATTCGATCAGTCAGTTTGCCGCGCGCGACACAGTCTACCAGTGTCGAATCGCTGTCCTGACAAACAGCGTAGTATCAAAGCGGCGACGTTAAAACAAAACCAAACGAAAGCGTCTTTGTCGGTGCCTCTAGTACTAACCCATCAAGCCATCAAGCAAATCTTGAACCTATGAACAGAACCAGGATGGTCTTAATGCGTCTTATGGAACAGATGATACGGGGATATATAGACAGGAAAACATGTTAATATGGAACTAACCGACACACGAATGTGATGGATAATCAGTTTTCCATCTGCGGTTAGTTATGGTAAGAGAACATGAAATGTGTGCGTTGGTGTGAAGAAGAGCTTGTTTTGTCGTTGTTACATAAAGCAAAATCTGTAGAGTTTTGCACATCTTCCATGCTAATATACAAGGTACCACGGATAAATATCAGGCAGTCCTTCTGGTTTCCATACACAGTTATACATTTTCTGCCTGACGAGCGCATGCAGCTACGTAAACCATCGCGGAGTTCAGCGTTGGGACCAGGACATTTGTAAAATTCATCCCCGTTATTCCTTATTTTAGAGTAATTAACTCCCGGTTATTCGTGAACACTAGCCGTGATAAATTATTATGCGATAGCAAATGTCTCACACAGTCGGGTTACAAACGCAAAATTCCTCATACTTATGCCTTCGGTACTAATATTACCATAAATTTAAGTATGCGATTCTTGATGGAGGAGGTCTAAATCTGATGATAAGTTTTCAACTGGAGAGGAAGAATAACAATTCGATAGAATAAACTAAATTCAGATTTTTCGCGTATTCCTATCAGCTGATTACATACAATTTAATGAAATAACTATGTTGTGTATAGACAATCAAGATTAAGGTCACTAGTCAAACGATAACGATCAAAGTTCCTCTAACGTTGACCTAGCATTCCGCTTAATGGAACATAAGCACCAGGCTTAACAAGGCAAGGTGAGACTAGCGAGTAACTCGGTTCGTTTATCCAGAGTGGGTTGCAGTCATCTAACTGTCGAAGCTTCAGTATACTGAAGCTAGCGGAGGCAGTCTGCAGGATGATAATTTTAAATGGTTCACGTGGCTTTTCACACATGAGACAGTCACATATTTTTCCGAGGGTTGTGAAGTCGGGTAGAATCGGACCATTCGCGACCAGTTTTATCCGGATACACCCTAAAATCCTTATAATTGGTCTCCTCTTATTTCGCCCGACCAACTAGTTACGGCAAGTGGAGTGAACCAAGTAAATGCATCAGGAGGTAACTCGACATTATGGCTGGTCTAGGTTGGATTTAAACAGCAACTTTCTAACTTGGGGCTATACATAATCTTAGCAGCGTACTAGCACAATTGACGTATTGAAGTATAAGAACGTGCGACAGACGTCCCTAGGAATATGTGCTCATAGCGCTTTCTTTCAAAAGAGACCAAATTGACAAATTCGGCATCATTTCCTTCAATCCGCAACTAAGCCGCTCAAACCCACTCTATATAAACAGACCAAGCTTGTCGCCAGTCTCCTCTTACCCTGGTGACGTTGGTGTCCACATTCCTTCAAGCGGAAGGCTAGACCAAATTTAGATTAATTAGGACCGATATCGTTTCACCACGGCCATTCCATTAAATTTTATATAAACAGCGGACGATAATACATGAATTAACAGAATTTAGATTTGTCCTTCGAATTGTTTTCTCTTACGATCCTGAGATTTGTGAAGGAAAAACAGTGCACGAAATTCCCCTGACATATGCTCATTTATATAGGAAGTTTGATTCTGAGAAACGGTGATGCTACTGGACATTGAAGAACCCCGATCAAACTGTTGCAATGTTTGCTATAGAATTGGCGGCTGGTAGCTTAGGATGTTCAGATGGCGGTTGCACTGTTCGCTGAGCTTGGCAATTTTGTTGCAAACGTTTCGTCACCAATCGTGATGACATCATCAGTGTGTAGTTGAATAGCGTGCAGTAGAGTAGATGAGTCTGTCACCGAGGCTTCTCTACACTGCTCCACGCTACTGCACGCCACTCAAATACATATTGATGATGTCAACTCAATTACTGACGAAACATATGCAACAGGATTGCCAAGCTCAGCGAACTGTTCAACCGCCATCTGTTGCAATATCCTTTATATCAAGAGAAGGAATTGTTATAACTTTCCAGTGCACTGTTTTTGTCATCGAAAATGTGCCGCTAAATGGGAATGTAAAATTAGTCTGCAACTGCCTGCTCTTCCAGTCCGTTGATTATGCCAGTGACATACTTATACTGTAATCAAATAAAAACGTATATTTCTTTTCTTCAACTAACCTTACTTTCTCGCCCAGACTGCTACCAAGCATTAATAGTTCGGCAAGTCCCCCTATTAGTCGTCATTGGCCTCAACAGTCTGGTGTGGTATGAGGACAATCCTCAGGCGAACGAGGGTGTTTCTGACCCATTGAGTCAACTCAGCTGGTTAAGAAGAACGCTTAATGCAGTTCGAGGAATCAAGGCAAAGTTAAATCCACAAATTTCTTGCATGTTATCCAATGGGTATGTATTTATATAATGTGAACTACCTGCAGCTTTGAATGACATTATAGCCTGATTAATGCGCGCGGTAGAGAGTCAACGCGTCCTCACTCCTTCCGGTGCGTTCTTTTATAGACATACATCTTGTATTGTCCAGTAACGTCAATGCTCCATGCGCAAACTTGAAACAGTACCCTGACAGTGAAGAGATTTCACCGTTTCTCGCCTCAACACTGTACCCCATTATGCGATTTTAATAGAAATAAACATATAACCGAGGTCCCGACAGATTTGGCTTGGTGGGTAGACCGAAGTTCAAATTTGATCCTCTCAACCAGTTGCCATGTGTTTTGATAGTAGATGGTGGCTAAACAACGTATTTGGCACACTTCCTAGAATAGAATAACAGTTGGTGATAGATGCTCAGCATGATAACATGAGTACTTTATCTAATGTCTTCTAAAGGGCCTAAGTACGACTAAACATATGGGTCAGAATACGTACCATATCATTATGTTTAATAGAACTATGTTATGTATAACTAAAGATGCCATATTTCTGCTTATGTTAAAAATAGTAGTATCAAATTGTGAGTAACAGTAGCATTTGACGAAAAATTTATTCTGAAAAACAGCTAGATTAAACGTTTGCCTTAGTTACGCGATTTCGTCAGACAAAACTACCACTGGAATACGATGCTTAGCTTCGTTGGATGGCAAATACAGCTTTGATATTTACTGGTAGCTACAGTTAAACTGCGGCAGCAAACGACACTTAAGCTCAGCAAATTCTTCGTCTGTTTATACACCCATTTAATCTAACCCACCCATTTAATCTAACAGCCTTGCGAGACGAAGATAATTGTTAGAATGTGCGCAGTTTAGTTGATTTTATTCATGGTATTTATTGTGTTTTATTTATGTATTCATCGTATCTTGTTGTACAGGCCATCGTCGCAACTCATATCCCTATCGGCGTTCACGAATTAAACGCAGAAAACAACGTCTACTTGAAGTTCAGTTACAACGAGCAGCTAACGCAGCTACTTCGCGAATATGCCGACGTGATCATAACTACGCTGGTTTCACACTTACACACTGATACCTTTCGCGTTGTTCTGGACGAAGATTGTAAGTTTATGAACACTAAGATCATATACTTTTAAAATCGCATTTCACAAATGTAGCATATTATGTTTCCGCAAGATTTTGTCAAGAATTTTGATCGTAGCCCGTACATAGATCACTTAAATCAACAAACGGCAGTTCTATAAATAGAAAAGTATTAGAAAAGTTTGTAGTCAGTCTATCATATGAATAATCACGAGATTAATTTGTAAATGCACGCGATTTGACGGATGACGTGAGGAACATAAACACGCGTTTCGCGGTGACTCACATCATTCCACCAAGTAATCCGTCTTCAATACCCAATCAGGTATCGCGATCACAGAAATTTGACATCATTTACATTGTTGCGCATGCCATAAAGTACGCGTCACTTAGACGAGCAGAACATGTGTTGATGTAATAAATTCCTTAAATGAGGCTGGTATACGGCGCAGCATTGATAGAAACTGTGGGTATCTGATTAAAATTCACAACTTATCTGCTTGATTACCAACTTAGATCCGACCCAATAGACAAGTTATGTTAAGTAAGATTCTGGTGTCAATGGATCATGTATTATTTCTAAACTGTTGGTTCCAATCCTCGAAGCAGTGTATGTGATTACATATCATAAGGTCACTCGGTGGACATTACCGTTGACTTCCAGCAGTGAAATACGAGATTAACTCTAATGCTAACTAAACATATAGTAACTGTAACCTTCACCGGTTGAACCTTGAATGACACGTAGCAAAGTATCCCAGAAAAACAGAACAAAGATTGATCACAATAACTACTATACCAATAAATTCGATACAGTTAAGTACTTCGGGCGTACCTCAAATCTTCAAGATCCCGGTGTATCACCGTTAGCAGCAAAATACCCTTACACAACGGAAAAGAAAATTCTGTTGAAACACACAGAAAGAGGACAAGTGGGCGTACCATAGATGCTTGGCACAGGTAGTCAACGTGAACTGGTGCATGCATAGCCCACGCTACATACGATTGACTCCACATGTGTGATAAATTTGCACGTCGCAAAATAGATCTGTAAACCGACGGGTTCTACAGTAACTTTCAGCTTCTAAGTCAACAACAGTAGTAGTGTATGAAGTGGGAGATATGAATATTAAGAATGTAATATGGTTACAGTTTACCTGTCAACATTTCCCAAACTGACCTGCAAATAATCGAAATCCACAAAATTTGAAAAATGAGTGCACATACCTTCCTAATGTCATAATTATTTTCCACTGGATGAAAAAAGCAAGTGCAGTGGTCTGCTGCTTGGCAGATGAAATGAAAGATGAATTTAATTTTTTCCTTACGTTCATGATAATTACAAGCGTGTCAGTATGTCTGCTATGTATTGCTTAGGAGCACACAATATCAACAGTACACTATGCGACTGTGAATGGCTACGTTTTCAGAACGTCTATAAAATCCTGTTCCTGCTAGTCGTCTGATTCATTATTCACATCTCAGCCGCTAAAATTAATGAAGCTGGCAAGTATAAGATTATTTATATTGTGATACTGGTTTACAACTAAGAAACAACTATATGGCTGTCATGCAGTTAGCATCCAATCATTTACATTGCAAGGTGTCCAAATCAGTAAAAGTACAATGAGACAAACTATGGTCAAATGTCTCAAATCCAGTTTGCATTGCACTCTCATAAACTATTCTGCAGGACAAGAAAAACTCGTTTTACAAAAACACTTAGGTATTGTCGAGTTATCCACCGCCTTCCATGCGGCAGCTATCCAGAGCACGACGTCAAATAAATTTATTGGTTTCATGAGTGCAGTTCCAGACATAATTTTGTGACATTCCGTGATCGTAATAAGATGCAGAAGCCAACCTTTTCCTAAATTTCAAGTTAAGCGCCTGAACTAACGCACAATCGTTGGGTGGCAGAAATTGCAATTCGACATTAAGTAGCTGGCATCTGGGGTGGCAAGTGGCATTGTCGATAACCAGTGTGTTGTTGCATTTCTTTTTGCATTTTCGTCAAGATTTGAAACCAACCTTCGCAAATAGCCGCAATCATACATGCCTTTTATAATTCTTACAAACTATAGATTTTTATGCGAATGTTCTTAAAATTTCGAGGGCTAGCTGATTTCCCAATCTCTGAGACCTGTTCCCGCTACCCCAACATGCTAGTGCACAGCATAACTGCGATACGCTCCATGCTTCTATTCCCACCTGCGCGTTTCTTTCCTTTGACAGAATGGCTTTTATTCGACGTCAATTTGAATAACAAACCAGTTGTATTTAAATATTAATGTCTTCAACTGTGTAGCGGAAACATGTTCCGAGTACTTTTGTTGTCAAGTCGGATGCAGCGCAAATATTTGTGTCACTGTTATCGCCTGATTGCTTGGCAAACACAATATTTGTATACTGATGAAAGCCGGCAGCGAAACGATTTACGCTTTAAAGTCCGTGTTGTACAATTCTTTCACGAATTGCAAGGCCTTTTCTTAAACCCTGGGTCTAAATAATGGGGTTTTTCTCGCCAATACTGACTGGAACCATTTCCAGCAAACTGTGTTTGTGTCTTCGTTACCAGTTTTTCCACTACTCTTTCTTTTCAGTTATGGATGGTTGATTTCAAGGCCATTCAAAAACTCAGCTGTTCTCTTTAAAGTTAGGAGGATTTGTGTCTTACCTATCCCTAAATATCCCTCCAATCTTCGGGAACTTTTCTTTCGTGACTTGGTCAAATCACATCTATTATTTCTTCAAGTGTTAATGCCTTTGGATTTGCTGATTTAGAACCAGCCATTTTGTCCTTCGTAGAAATGTTCAAAAAGAACTAGAAGAAAAAAACATGAATGTAAATTAAGGGAATACGTCCATCATGCCCGCTCAATGCTGACAAACGAGTAGGGTCATAGTAAATTAATTCAACATAAAGTACTAATTACAATACTTGCGACTGTACAAGAGTATCACAAAACTCATAATTCGAGAGTTTACTCCTACGGCTCTTTTGTTGAACAACATGGCTTTATTCGATTGGTTCATCGTACAGCCCATAACCGGATACATGCGTTAGTTACATAGGGTGATCTCCCGAGGGTCTAATATGTTACTGGACAATTCTGGTTAAAGGCAATATGACCCATGGGGTGAGAACAAACCAGTGGTATTGAGATAGTTATACAACCTGAACTAGTCACTTGCGACAGCGGGGATAGAAACAAGCCTATAAAGAATCGAATAAAGAGACACAGAATGCTTGAACCTGGGCAATAATGAATCAGTGCAGGACATATGGTGTGGTTTCTGGAGCAATTATGACACCTTGAAATGAAATCTAAGGTATCTGTGACAAACATTTATGACACATCAACTCACAATTTCGGCCATTTATGCTATTGGTTGTCAACTTGAGCAGGTGCTAAAACTTCTGGGGACCATAAAAGCGTGGTCGCGGTTGCATTAGCCAAGTGGACGCCATAGACAGGTATAAGCCAATGGGGAATTATCGGAAAATCGTTGGTGATATTTTTGACTGGTCGACATGGGCAGGTGGTCGGCAGAGACTGTTGGTCGCTTTAGGAGGTTGGACTGTATTGGCAATGTTCAAGTTCAAGTTCTGGCAAGACTGGAACAGTAGAAGGATCTCGTGAGTGTTCCAGATTTAGTGGATCCTTGAGCCAGAAGCTGATGAATTGCTCAGAATTCTTGATGGCATTGGACAATCATCGACGGCCCAATTACGGAGTGAGGGATTTACCGAAAGCCTACATACAAGTAAGCTTGGTATCGAATTCGATAACTTGTGTGTAACAAGTTTCGTAGAGCAAGTTTGTGGTATCGAAGAGTATTCGGGACTGTAAACAACTAACAAGCGAAGCACAACGACTGCATTGTAAGAGCAGATATGGCAACAAAACTCCGATGAACTAAACACCAGAACGAACGAACGAAGTGGAAACGCGCGTCTTCGACGGCAGGAGAAGAGCAACAATGTTTCGGTACAGGCGTACATAAACAAGCAGCTTCGTTAAAGATGATGGTTCTACCGTTTGGTTCGTAATGATTGTGAGACACATCAACATAGAAAAGAGAATAAAACAGGCACTAAAATAATATATAGTTTAAAAGAACCAATGCAGTTTCACTTACGTCACAGAGCCTTAGAGAAAGCGGAAACTGTGTAACAATGCCGTGAAGATAGAGACAACATGCAGAGTGCATGGGGCCCCTATTACGGACGAAACAAAATCAAATAAGTTCAACTATCTTTAGGGAGGTAGTGAAAGTGAATCACAGAAAAAGAGTGTGGGTGTACGGATAATTGTGCAGTTACCTAGCTAAGTACATTTTAGTAGGGTAAGAGAGGGCTCACATTATCTGCTACTTAGAGACATGTTACGGTGCATGAGCACCCTCGATGAGAGTCAGTTGGATAATAAGGAAAGCACAATGCATGTGTCCACCGACAGCAAGTTCCAGATGAAATTACCAAATTTGCAATAAAGCGCTATAGTAACGCTAATACTCCTCATGCTAATTTTTGTGTAATTGTTCCTAAACGCTGCAAAACGATTGTTTTTTAGCTGCTGCAAAATAGCATAGATTCGTCAGTTGCTAATTTCGAGTGGGCAGTCATTTTTCTCGACTGCAGATAATCCAGTTGGGACCTTATTTCTTGGACCTTCTGTGGATCCGTTATACATGAAGGGGATTGGATCTTTTAATCCACGCCTCCGTCAGTTTCACTACAACAGAAAAACCGGTGTCCTGATGGATTATACTCAGTATTATCTTAATTTTAGCGGACGTGCCCCCACATAGCAAAAGGAGTATCAAGCGATAGAGGAGTACGGCATTCGAAACCTCACAACACCCTCTATGGCGGACCTACTGGACGAATTTACTGTGGAGAACGACAAGGATGGGCACTGGGGAACATACTGGAAGCACCATCTTGGTAGTCGCCCTCACGATCCTGTTCAGTACTTTGAAAATGACCAATGCCCTGAAGCACAGTCCGTATGTCGTTGTCAGCAAGTTTGTGCGATGCGACATTCTGAGTTTACTGAAGTGACTCAATGTCTAAGTGTGTGCAACAGCCAGCCGAAACCAATCCAAAAGACAATCAAACAACTGATCCACGATAGACTCAACCCATCCACGGGCAACAAGATGACATCCATCATGGACTCAGCACTTTACGGATACTTTGTTTTAGCTATGTTGCTATGGATGTCAGTCTAAGTAATCGAGGTTAGTCAGAAGGAATCACAACTCGCACCATTCGATTACTGAAAGCACTCAGCCGACTATTCTATTCCGCTATGTCAGATGCTTAATTGCGTGTTTCTCTTTGTACTGATGTCAGGCGCTTAGAAATTTCGTTCACTTTGACAATCTTATCATGCCTAATACTAAACTCTATTTGGGTTCTCATCTCCTGTTTACCAAAGTTTTCTTGTTTGTTGTCGCTGGGATTTCGGCACCTTAATGTTACTTCAATTATCATAACCTAGTAACCACTTCTTGTGTATAAGGCTATTCCGAATACATGGTCTACGGATATTTTCTTCGATCAATACATCAGGACCAGCATAATAATCTGGCTGGTAAAATTTTGAGACCATTGCCTAGCGGAATAACGTATAATGAGCGCGTAATTTTCTTCCGGTAAAGTGAGCTAGTCACTTGAAGGGAACACTCGAGGTAACACAACAGGGTTAATGAAATGTAGCTTTCTGCAATTCTTATCGCACTCAACCACAACAGACAGTTCACTAGTGGAAAATTTCCTTGAAATATAACGTTATTGAGTCAATGATGCATAATGCGACAAAAAGACGATAATATAAATCTAATCGCCAAACATTCTTAACAGTGGCGCCTACCCAAATGTGGGCATTCGAAAAGCATTTGAGGGTAAGTAAACCAATGGAAGAAATGTCCCACAAGGTGTAGTTCGGAAGAAAGTGTTATATTTACAGATGAAGGCATCATGCATTTCGGCGGGAAACCAGGATAAATATGAACACAACTAAAACAGAGAAATATTGACTGAAACAGTTAGTTACCTTTAGTCATCTGAAAAACGCGGTAAGAAGACTAAGACTGGCAAATGCACGCATTTCGTATTGTCTCGGGTGCATTTAACAATAACTCGCAATAATATTTATTCAGTGAATGGGGCGACCAAACATGGTTTGCGGCATCCGGTTTCGAATTTGCCTGTCACTGTGGCAAGCCACAGGACGCCTGCGCCTACAGAGGGAACATGGTTGGCTTGCTCTGCACCACCCACAGCTCCAACCACAACCCCATATCTAGTGTAAACCCGAAGGAATAAGTCCGGGAGGCATGTGGATGGGAGCCACGTTTCATCAGCGGAGCCGGCCCACACTCCTACACAGGCAAACAAAAGCACGCTGTAGTTGGAGAATCAAGCGGCCACAAGGCGGTGGCCGGACCGTAGTCCGCTCCACACTGAGTGCATGGAACCACTGTTTGATGCTAGCACGGCCACAAGGACCATGCACCCCGTCCCCTCCAGCAACGACCAACTGTCTCCTGGAGCCAGTATGGACGGGCACCTTGTCAACATGCATATCAAGCGCATCTACACCGGGGATATCAAGCAATAGCCAATCACCTGGAATGACAAAATGAAATAAAACAAATCCATTAATGCATACAGATACGGTGGCATAACTCTTCGCTAAATCAGCACATGAAGTAAGTTGCTTAGCAAAGAATCCGCAATAAGGAAAAAGTGTCCACAAGTTAGTTAAAAATGCTACAACACGCAACAGTTACCGCAGATAAGGGCAATTAATGTAAGCAACGTGGTCAGTTAATAGAAGAGTATTCAGGTAGGCAGAACAAACCAAAAAAACTAGAATGAAATTTAGCCAGCTTAAAAAGACCTAGTTTAAGTGTAAGTTGGTTTAACCCAACTGCGGTGAAGAAGCATCAAGAATGCAACACCAGCCCAGCATGGGGCGACCAAACATACATGCAAACAAACAAAAACATCAACACACGATAAGCGAGACAGGATTATCACCTCTATCCCCAGGGCAGTCTAATGCTGACTGATAATTGTTTCTGAACACAAAGCAGCGGCTTAATCCGTTAAATACAATCGCCTCTGCGAAACGGAGGAGTCGAGAATTGGTGTGCTTTAATAGGATTGTGAACTCCGAATCGACCTCTACTCGGTGACCTTTGGTCAATAAATGTCGGCCGATCGAAGAGACATCGTGTGATTGACAGTGATACGTATGACAGCTTGAAGCCGACCGGCTCCACTACTCCTCAGCTATACGGACTACCGAAAGTATAGGTGTGTGAGGTGCCACTCAGACCAATTCTATCGATGGTAAACTCGCCTTAAAATAAGCTGGCTCGCTGGCTGGTGAAATTGCTTTTTCCGCTGCGAGAGTAGGCCAATCTATACAGCCTCAAGGATTCTTTCGTGCTTATCGACGACCTCAGCATAACGTATCCAGCAACGTCACGTGGTGGTTAGATTTGGAATGGCTGTTTACTAATGTTCCCCTGCACTAAACTGTTGATTACATTTGTGAAATAGCAGAAAGTTCGCGGTGTCCCCTACCAGTGCCAATTGAGCTACAAAGAGATTCGTTTTTATGTGCACGGAGAATGTCAACTTTCACTTCAGAAACTCACCGTACGCTCAGAATGATGGAGTAACGATGAGCAGTCCGTTGGGCCCGGTACTTGTTGATTTCTTTATGGTAATGGTAGAGCGACTTATGTCTGGAGAAATATCTCGACTGCCACACTACAAACGCTAGGTGAATGATATTTTGGCAATTTGTTCATCAGAGCATCATATGGAGCAGTTGTTAACGCAACTAAATGCTGTGCATTATAACCTGCGGGTCTCTTGTGAGGTAGGGAAGCAAAATTACCTTCCGTACTTAGATATCCCCATCAGCCTCAGAGAAAACGGGCAGATTAACAGGTCTGTCTACAGGAAATCAACGTGGTCCGTGCAGTATCTACATTTCACTAACTTCACACCAATGCGATACAAGCGGAGGCTCGTGAACACCCTGATTAGTCTTGCCAGACGAAGATGCTTCGCTGCTTGCCTGTCTGACAAACTGCAGTTGTTTACCAACACGCTCATCGAAAGCAGCTACCCCCGAAGGTACATCGAGAAACATAGTCAAGTGCGACCAACGGGCCTAGTTCACACGATACCCAAGAAGCCAGGAATAATGGCACTGCCATTCAAAGGTGACGTCTCATCGTTGGAAACCATAAGACGTCTGATCGGCGCCGTGCGGACAACTTACTATGCCGTCTAGGTCGTTGTCATTAAGAAAATTCAAACTGCCCCTTCCTTCCGTAAAGGAGGCTCAGTCTATGGCGACCAAATCGCGTTGCAGTTACCAATTCTTTTTAACTGCGGCGCCAGTTGCATAGGCAGGACCGATAGAACATGGAGTTCCCGTGTGAAGTAGCATGTAACTAAGTGGGTTCAACGTTCGACTGCGCAGGAAATTGGCCAGAGTCAAGCTGCTTGTCTGCGTAAGCCACCAGCCTCTTCGATCGGCCAACACTTATTGACCACAGGTCACCGAGTCGAGGTCGATTCGGCGTTCATTTTCCTATTAGAGCACACCAATTATCGCTTCCTCCGTTTCGCAGAGGCGATTGTATTTAACGGATTAAGCCGCTGCTTTGTGTTCAGAAACAATTATCAGCCATCATTAGACTGCCCTGGGGATAGAGGTGATAATCCTGTCTCGCTTATCGTGTGTTGATGTTTTTGTTTGTTTGCATGTATGTTTGGTCGCCCCATTCACTGAATAAATATTATTGCGAGTTATTGTTAAATGCACACATGAGACAATACGAAACGCGTGCATTTGCCAGTCTTCGTCTTCTTATTGCGCTTTTCAAATATTCATTTTTTGCTGGCAACAAATAAAATGGCCCTTTCCTTCTGATTTTCAGGATTAAATTCTAAGCCAACAAGATTTTTTATCAGCAACTCTAAATGTCTACTGGTTGACATATCGAAATGTATATGACAACAATCATGGAGTCCAGGTTTGCTACTTTGAGTTAACCATTTGTTTCTGTAATCCTGCCTTCCAAAGAACGATGGATATGTAAAATACTGCAAGATCACATATTTTGTCATTAAGGAAGAGGTAGGGAACAGATTTTGTTTGCATCTTGTCGCTTGTTATTTAACACCAGCTACAGCTCATGATGTAAAGGTCATAAACGAACGACAAGTTGTTAAGTAAGAGTATCAGGTTTTCGGAAATATTTTTGCACAAATATGCAACAAACGTTATGTTTCCCGACAGAAAGATGCTTCTCTGTCTTGAGAACGATAAAGTGTGAAGATAACTGATGATTTAGTTAATTAATTTTTGTAACTCATTAACCCATTCAATATTTGAGCTTCGTCAAGGGAAAGCAATCAAATCTGAACCTTATCAGCGAAATTTTAGTCTGCATAATTGAGTTATGCCTATTGTTTGCGGAACACAAGGTGGTGACACTTTCTAGTATAGAGAATCTGGAGCAAATTTCCTAAGATGTTTCTGCGTAAAAACTCATAGGGCTGACTTCACTTCGCTTTTTCAGGGATGACAAATGGCTGACTGTTTGGTGGTAGCCCAAATAACGAAAAAATTTCACCTTGAATTATTCGTCGTGAAATCCTCAACTCTTTTGTCTCATAGTTCATCTCAAACTACCAGTTCCCAATGTTCGGGGAACACTGGTGCTTTTAGCTGGTACTTGATTTAGCAAATAAATAGGTAATAAATGACTTC